GAGCTTCATATAAATTAATTCATACCTCCTTACTCGACGATTTCCGCTTGCTGACAAGTCTCTCCACTTGATATAATTTTGCCCCGGGTTTATAATTTCTTTTGCATGTAGAAAAAGGTTCAAAATCCGCCGAAGAAAGATTATTCAGAGCAACATAATTTACGCGTTCTTCGCTTCGAACGATCTTGCCATATTCTTTCACGTAATCCGATACCTCCGGGCATGCTCCATTCAACTAAGAGTACACCGCATTCAGAAAATATCGTGTGAACAAAATGACTCCGATTTCTGGTAATGTGATGATGTAGGAGACGGTCCACATGGTTCTCTCTTTGAAGCCGGGGAAGTAATTTTCAGCACAAAATCGATGTACAGCACTTCACATCGATAGGAGAAAAGCAATTAATTAGAAGAGATTGCTATACTTCCAAAGGAAACAACGCTATCATCACAAAAACATACCATCACGATAGAATAATACACCTAAGGCCTCGCTGACCAAAGATCAGCTTATCGCATCACGGCGTCTGTTTTCTGAACTAATTAAAGCAGTAAAGAAAATGGTTTCACACAAATTCAGAACACTCTTCTACTCGATTAAAGTACAAAAAAGGCTCACATCCCCAAGGCTAGTATTTTAAAACAGTATAACTCTCATTTGCTTGTAGGTTCCCATATAATTATTTGCCTATTGGCTCTGATGCTCTTTGTGTACCAAGTAGTGTCTGATACAATGTTATCTTAAATGTTTGTAGAAATATCTCGTGAACGACAAGAAACAATAGTATGCTTGTTTCTTCGATGTTTATGTTTCAACATGGGAAATATCCTTGAAATTTCAAACAAAGGTTCACAATCAAAATATACCTTGTTACGAAGGACGAAGTAGCTATGGCGGAAGTAATTAAAACATGGGCTTCGGTATAGGAAGGAATAAAATTCTTCCCAAAGTAATTGTAGTCAGCTGTTTGTACCTTAGATAACAAACTGATACATGCTCTGTACAATTCCTGTCTATTGCTTTCCTTGCAGAGCGATAAAACTCAAGAAGAAAAGGAGTTCCATCCCATACCTCAGAACAACATATTGACAAAGCTGTATTGTCTCCAGTTCAGTAGCGAGGTTGCTTAATTTGCATAATTAATTCGCATTTAGAGTCACGCAATACTACCTCTTTAATGTTGTTTAAGCCTCTAATAAATAGAAATGATAATAGTCTTTCTTGAGGTGATTTTTTCATATACAACTGCAATAAACGTGTGCAGCAAACGTAATTGCTGTGAAACTTGAGTGCATATTCACCTTGCAAGCGGTTTTCGTTCTTGTAAATAAGTTTTTTTAACCAATTTCTGATTAAAGATCCTTTTAGCTTGTCGCAACAAAATCTACGAGAAATCTACGAGACTTTGCAGTTCGAAACCGAGGAAAACGACAGAACACTTGATGAATTAATTCAGGCGTTTGGAGAATACTGTGATCCAAAAAAGAATGAGACCTTGGAGAGGCATAATTTATTTACAAGGAACCAGGAATCAGGAGAATCCTTTGATAAGTACCTTACAGAATTGAGACTTCTCAATTAAACCTGTGACTTTGGAACACTCGCAGATTCCTTACTCAGATATCGAATTGTTTGTGGATTATCCAGCTCCACTCTAGGAGAGAGATTACTCAGACAGCCTAATCTCAACCTAAAGCAATGCATCGACATATGTAGGGCTTCAGAACTGTCAAACTAACGGAACAAGTCCCTTGATAACACTGATAGTTTAAGCAGAATCAACTCAAGAAAGCTTTATACATCTCAAAGCCACAAGTCGGACAAGCACACTGAGTCAAAGCCTACCAAAGCATGCTTATACTGTGGGAGACTGCATGAGCTTGTGAAAGCTAAATGTCCTGCTTATGG